TCAATGCATCAACTGTTTTCAACAAAAAAAAACAGGAGCAAAATTAAACCCTAGCAATAAGATATAATCCTACACGGAACCATCTGTATCTTTGCACCGTCCAGATTAACCTTCACTTCCTGAAGAAAACAGCAAGGTCTGTTGGAAAGAATCAGCAATAGAAAGAAAAAAGAAAGACAAATGCGGAACAGTAAGGATAAGGTGCATAATTGTACCACAAAAACGCTAAGAATTCTAGCAATGATACAATACACGTGCTGAACTGATTTGATACATCAAATTTTCAGCAAAAAAAACTAGTTAACATGGATACAAGAATCCGATAACAAACACGCTGAAAGAAGCATACGGAAAGAGGTGAAACAGAAAATCAAAAGGATCAGAGAAACAAGAGAAAATAATGTGGAAAGGAAACTATGTGCAACAACAACAAACAGAAGGTATTCTACAAATATCAATCTACATAGATAGGTGAGAAAAGAACAAAGAACTAAGAAACCGATTTAAGAAGCCCAATAAGAGGAACGTTCAAAACTATAAACGGGTGCTGGTTAACAAAGAATGTACAACGTAGAATAACCCATAACAAGAGAAAAGTTGTTGAAAAGGAAACGAGATGCAACGGAAACAAACAGAATTTCATGGTTAACGAACAAGGTTAAAGTCGAGATCAATACAGAAAGAGGAACAGATAAGAGAAAAAGATGAGAGGCGAAATACAAAAAAGAAGATCAATAGAACGAACTCACCTAGCTACGATTAGATCGTGCATAGTTGAAAGGGGACGCCCGTTGAATGAGTACCTCATGACTGAACGGAATGAAAACTGAAAGGCAAGGGTATATAGAGCTCAGAAACGAAATGGAGAAGATATGTATGGGTGGTGGCAATAAACAAGGAGCACATAACAAAAACTGAAATGTGGTTCAATAAAAATCTGTTCAATCTATAAACTAAAGCAATGAAGGTTAAGTATTCAAATCTATATAGAAAGAACAGAAGAGAAAATGAAGTTAGAATGTCAAAGAAACATGTGCAACTACGAGGTGACCAGGATGCGATAAAAGGAAAGGGACGATGAGGAACTAAAGAACACATGCAGGCTTACAAACGACTTCAAACTTAAGTACTTACAACAAGTCTAGAACCTAACCTTTAACAACCTGGATCTTTTAAAGACGGCCAAGACTAGAGTAAACGATTAGGATTCGATAGTTAGGGACGATAGGCTAGTTCTTAATCACCTAACTTAGTTCTAGATTATTACTTAAGGTTGATCTCACCTTGCATCTCTAGGTGGAGTAGCGTGACTCGCGGGGGAATCAACTGGCGTGACTGGCTCGAAAGGCGAGAGGCAGGGAGAAAGAAAAGGGTTGGACAAACCCTAACGCAAAGACACATACGTCGCTAAAAACAAAAGACTAATAAAATACGATACGAGGCTAACGCGTATGCGCTTGCCCAGTCGGACGAACGTCTATTGGGAGCTGAAAGGTTTAAGGATCAATTCCAGCAGTAGCAATTATTCAAGGCTTTTTACGAAAGAGGAAGTACCATTTTCTAGTACACTACAGGTTTCATACTACACTAAAGTGAAAAAGTATCGTACCGATTCGCTTCGCAACCCTAGGACGACCTAGTCGCCTCTTGTTTTTTTTTTTTTTGGTAGGTGAAAATGCATTATACAACGTACAACGCATAACACCGTCGGTCGTAACCGGAGCTAGAGGGCATAGGTAGTGTATACCGTACCCTCGCAGAAATCTACGGAGGCTTATAGACCAAACGCCTAAAAACTTCAACTTGCCCACCACAAAATCTAACTGTGCCGTTGCCACACTTCAACTCTGGCAGAAACGCCTCGGTAGGTTCCAGGTTCTGTATCTGTTGCTTCAGCTTGGAAGAATTGGCTCCGAGCCTGCCCTGCCGTGCCTTGTAAAAAGGTTGGGTTCCAACAGAGAAAACCCTGGTTTGAAATTGCTGCCGTGCAGGACTTCGGTGACGGATGTTCAGTCTTGGTCCTTTGGCTCCAAATCTGATTCGCCGAGAGTGGTGGGGTTGGGTTGGGATTGGGAGAGCAGAAATTGCCCTGGTTCGCAGTTAGAAATCGCTAAAATGTCGTTAATTGGGCATAAACATGGACATCGTTGATTTGACGTCACCCTACGCCATCAGCTAGACACACACAATGTAGGGGATATGATAGATGCTCATGCTAGATGTTGAAAAGAGTTGCACATGTCTGAAATATCAATTGCTCGTTTTGGCCTTTTTTTTCGGATCTCTCTGCTTCAGTCAAACAAGAGGGAGTCCCCTTGTACCCTTGGGTGTAAACATAAAGGGGTCGATTATATCGGTGTTCAGTCCAGGTGCAGCTGTACCCTTCTAGCCCGCTGCACTCCATCCATTCATAAAACTGAACAGTTGCCTTATCCTGGAGCTGCCGGGTTCTGTAAACTTTTCTTTTTGCTCCGTTGCATGCCAACTCGGCACAGGTTGTGGTGTGGTGGGTGTTCGTTCAATGACGTGCTGACGTCCTCTACATATTGCACTTTCTGACTCGTGCCAAATCTGACCGCCGAGCAGCGGAAGATTATTGCTTTATCACCCAGCTATCCAACTAGAGCCACCTAATGGAAGCGCGACTTTACGGATTGGTCGAACGGGAAATAGGGATGGCCAGGTCATGTCAGTCCAGGTATTACTGTAGCAGCAGAAGTTATGCAGATCGCGCGCGTCTCGGCCGGAACAGAATGAACAGTGGTTGGTGTGGGTGCATAGCATGATCATGCGGGTAGACAACGTCGCACCTCGGCGCCAGCGCGGCAGCGAGATGTTGGACACGAGTCACACGACGCGGTCAGACTGGTATATATATTGCACTGCCAGCTTTGTTTGAATTCGCCGACTTTTCAACTGGCCGCGTCATTCACGGCTCACCGCTCACGTCGCGTGTCGGGATGCTCGAGTCACGACAAACTATACCACCACCTCACGAAGTGGCAAGTCAGCCCCTCTGGTTCTACCAATGCCGCGGGTCCAAGCCGCAATTCGCGCAAGCATCGTTCCAAAGGATGCATCATTTCATGCCACGTGTAGGAAGCCCGGGCGCCCGCACTTTATTTGCTCAGGCAGAATCACCGCCATTGGCAATGGCAGTCGCTACATCATCTGTAGTAGAGCCAGCTCAAACCAACCACCTACCCTCAGACGGACGGGACGTCCCCCAGGCTATTTCAGATCGGACACCAGTCCCCACCCCAATCAAGTCCGATTCGGCCGGGCCTGGGGAGGGGAGATAAGCAGTGGACGTCCCTCAGACGATCCCGGGTCGGACCCCGTGATTGTGGCGCCACGAATTCTGCACTGCACTCCCCCTCCCCACCCAACCACTCGGCTGGGCTTAGCGGGTACACCTGGGAGAGAAGAAAGGGGCACTTGCCGCTTGCCGAATCTGCTCGGTTTCGCCTATGTTCGCCTGAGACTGAAAACAGCAGCATTGTTGAAAAGTGAGCGCCAGAGTTGGGAGTTCTGTTTTCGGCATTTCTGCGAGAGAAATGATATCTTCCAATCTGAAGGATAGTAGGATTCCCCACAATCTCGGTGGCAGCCCGGTCATTGTTAACCTGCTTCACGGCTCTAGTAGTCGTTATTCCTTGGTGAATCCTTGAGTCTCGGTGAGCCCGGTCACCCTGTCAAGCGTGCGTACTCGTGGTACTACTACCAATACAACTACATGGCGTCCCGTCATCATCGGCTTGTAATGAAAGCGACCGTGGCGGTCGTTCTCAGCGCGGCCGAGCAGCAGCAGCAGCAGCAGCACCGTGCTGCTGACAACATGAAGACCCACACTATTATGCAGCTGGCAAAAACAGTGAGCGGCTGCTACAACAACCATGGCCTTTCCTCTGCGCGGGCCCTGCCGCGATTCATGGGCTCCCAGGATTCTCTTCACCATGATCCCCCGCCTTTTGACGTGGCTAAGGTGACGGAAACACCACGGTATCATGTCTCAGCAGCAGCAGCAGCCGCAGCAGCAGGAGGAGGAAGATCCATGGTACTCAGCGCAGGACGACCAGGCGCATCGACAAGCCTACTAGGCGCGTGGGAGGAGCAGCATGACAGAAATTACACATGCTCGGAGCAGCATGACAGAAATTACACATGCTCGGAGCAGCACGATGAACACCATGATGACCAGCATGATGAGCAGCGCAGGCAGCGCCATCATCCTCATCATCATCATCATCTGCGCATCATGCCGCCTAACGCCAGCGGGTGCCCGGTTCCTCCTCGCCCCGCCCACTCATCGTCTGTGACACGCAGCTTCCCTCGCAGCACTTCCCTGCCTCTCCAGACGCTCGCTCCGACTCTTAAAACGCACTCCGCCGCCTCCTCCGGACACTCCTCTCCTCCTTCCAACCCCCCGTTTCCCTCCTCCTCAGGCCCTGCTGCCGCTGCATCCTCGTCTCCCTCGTCTGATTCTTCTTCAGCAAAAGAACCCACTTCGACCAACCACATTCACTCCCGTGAATTCCCATCCTCCCTCTCTTCCCACAATCAGCATTCACAATCAGCCACTGTCGTTCCGAAACGCCGTGAGCTCGTCTGTAGAAACACCGCACCTGCCCAGCGTGAGCTAGTAGTGGTGCGTTCAAACCTAGCGAACAGGCCCACAACACGGAATCTATCCAACAGGCCCACCACAAGCCCCGTCAGCAGCCCTGAAAGCAACCCTAGAGGGAGCTTGGAGTTCAGCCCAAGTCAGCTGAGTTTTTCCGAATCTGAAGGTCCGAATCAGCCAGGCCTGCGTTCGAAATGCTCATGCATCAGTTCAAAACTAAGAGCTGAAAGCCCGGATGATTACGCTGCAAGCCGGAAGCTTGTTCGGCGCGTGTCGTTCAGTAGCGTTGTGCAGGTGAGGCGGGTGATTGACTTGCATCCTGATGCTGACAAATACTGCAGTGACACTGACGGGAGATACTCGAATGCTATCTTCTATGACCAACGGTGCAGCAATGCTGTTCCCTGCAGCAAGAGGGAGCAGCAGCAGCAGCAGCAGCAGCAGACCACATCCCATGACTCTCACTCCGGCCAATCAGCTACTTTCATGATTCACCATCCAGCCTCCACTCGCTCCCCCGCATCCCCTTTACAGCTGCCCGCCTTCCCCTCCTCTCACTCTTCTCCCTCTTCCCCCTCTTCCCCGTCGTCCTCCTCTTCCCCTTCTTCCCCCTCTTCCCCCTCTTCCCCCTCTTCCCTTTTTTCCCCCTCTTCCACCTCTTCCCCCTCTTCCACCTCTTCCCGCTCTTCCTCATCTTCCTGTCTTTACCGTTCAACCTCCGTCAGTATGTCTCACCATCTGAAGCCCCACCCTCCTCCACCTCGCAGCTGCTCTCACTCCTCCCTCAGCTCCTTGTCCCAAACCTCACCTTGCTCCTGTTCCACGTCTCGCCAACATGCCTGCACTGCCATGCTCCCCTCCCCAGCTGCTAGGAAGCTGATCGCACGGCTTCGTGCATCAGCAGCAGCATCAGCAGCAGCAACAGCACCACCAGCCAGGCAGGGCGAACAACTTGTGAGTGGTGCTTGAGTGCCACCAACATTACAAACCTACTTGTGTTGAATACTATCAATGCAGTGATGAGATATATGATATTCACCCCTTGTTGAAGTGGCTCTAGACCTGCAAGGCTGCAACATCCTTTAGTGGAATTACCGTAGGCAGAGGCAAGGTCGGACTGAAAGTTACTCAACTGTAATTAGTGTGCCACCAAACTATATGGGAGTGGTTTCTATTCACATCAATGGGGCTCTGTATTGGGCATTCCAGCACTGTATTTGCTTGCTGGGAACTTCGCAGCAAACAGGAAGGTCTCTGCCTATGTGAGCAACGCGTGTATTGCCAAAACAAGCATTGAAGTGAGAAAAAGAGTTGTAAGCACACTTGTGAATGAGTAACTTTCTGCAGCTCCAGAACATCATGTATTGCATACTGCTCCACCAAATCCCATCCTGACCCAACCTGCCTAAGTGCAACGCATACATCCAAGGATCTCGCAATGGAATTCGGTAGTGGCCCGCCTCAACTAGTCAGGAAATGCTTCATATCGCACTGCAATCCTCCAAACCTCACCCTTGTGGCAACACTACAGCTTAGCTTTCTACCCCTCCTCGTCGGGTTTTCAGCTTTGCAGGAACTAATATGTCAGAATGTGTTATTTGTTGTCAAATGTTGTAGCCTGTAGTGAGGTTTGTCTTAGGGGGTACAGAAGTTAGGGTTTGTTATATGTACCCCAACCAACATCAATGGAACCATTCATTCCTCATTTTGACATGGTATCAGCTAGGTTAGGATCCTGTGGGATCCCGTTCCTCCGTTCTCCGTTCGTACCTCCCGAGCCTGATCCTACCTCTCGTTCGTACCAGTTCCGTTGTTACCGCGCCTAGTACCGAGCCTAGCGCCCTTTCCCCCGTCGCTTAGCGCCCTTTCTCCCCGTCGCCTCGCGCCCTTTCCCCTCCCCCCCCGTCGCGTCGCGCCCTTTCCCCCCGTCGCGTCACGCCCTTTCCCCCCGTCGCGTCGCGCCCGTTCCCCCCGTCGCGTCGTGCCCGCCTGTTCCCCCCCCCGTCCCGTCGCCCTGTCCCGTCGCGTCACCCTACCCCGTCGCGTCGCCCTGCCCCGTCCCGTCGCCCTGCCCCGTCGCGCCGCCCTGCCCCGTCGCGTCGCCCTGTGCCGTCGCGTCGCCCTGCCCCGTCGCGTCGCTCCCGCCCTTTCCCCCGTCGCGTCGCCCTGCCCTACGCCCTGGCCCGTCGCCCTACCCTAGGCCCTGGCCCGTCGCCCTCCCTAAGCCCTGGCCCGTCGCCCTACCCTAAGCCCTGGCCAGTCGCCCTACCCTAGGCCCTGGCCCGTCGCCCTACCCTAGGCTCTGGCCCGTTGCCCTCCCTACGTCCTGGCCCGTCGCCCTAGCCCGCTCTTCCGCTGCAACTGAGTCCTCTTCCCCCCCGGTTCTTACTCGCCTGTTCGTTCGCTTTAGTTCTCACTATGGCGACTCCGCGAGTTCTTCGTTTCGACGCTGACGGTAGACCGCTTGACTTTTCCGTCTGGCTTCTTCGCGCTCGCCGTCTGTTAGAGAGTCAGGTCCAGGGGGGCGAGACCCTCTGGTCACACGCTATTGGTGACCTCCCCGAGCCCCCCGAGCCTACAGCTTTAGGCCCTGCTCCTGACGACGCTGCTACGGCTCGCTTTGCCCGTCAGCGCGCTGACCGGACGGCTTGGACGTCGCGTGACGCTGCGGCCTGCATCGCACTCAGCAGCCTCCTCCCTGAGTCTGAGGAGGTCCACTTTACTCAGGTTCGCACCGCTGCTGCGTACCTCACTGCGATTAAGGCCCGCTACTCTACTCCCGCTACTGTCTCTCTTGGCCGTCTTTTCCTCCCGTTCCTGTTTCCTGATCTTGCCTCGTTTGAGCGCTCTGCTGACTTGATCGCTCACCTCCGCTCGCTCGACGCTAGTTACCGCGCTGCTTGCACTGAGGCACAGCTTGCACTGCTTCCTCCCCCCATGGCGATCACTGTCTATTTCATCGCCACTAGCCTCCCTGACCGCCTTGCCTCCGTTCGTGACGCGCTTCTGCTGAAGCACCCTAGTGAGCTGACTATCGAGGTCCTTGAGTCTGCACTCAAGGACGTCGAGAGCAACCTTCGTTCGGTAGCTGCCGCCTCTGGTACTGTGTCCCCCCCACTCTTCCACGGGTGCACAGTCCCGCAGTTACCCACCTTCACTGCCTCTCTTGCCACTGCCGCTACTGACGCGACTGCGGCTGCTGTTACGACTGCGTCGCGGTCCCGCGGCAGGGGGGGCAAGAAAGGTGGTTCTGGTGGAGGTGGAGGCGGAGGTAGCGGAGGTAGTGGGGGTGCTGTTGCGACTGGGGGTGGTGGGAGTGCAGCGTCTGGAGAGACCCCTCGTGCAGCGGCTGGTGACTCCACTGCACCTGCTGGTGGCGGCGACCCCCGAGCTCGTCAGTCGCCTCCTGTACTGCCGGCCCCGCTAGGTGGAGCAGCGGCGTGGTACCAGGCTCAGCGTCAGCAGCACCTTCAGCAGCAGCAGCAGCCCCTTTCCTCCCAGCAGCCTCAGCAGCAGCAGCGTCAGCAGCTGGCTCCGGGGTCGGGGCTGCGTCAGCCCCAGCGCGGTGCGGCTTACCCTCCCTGCCCCTACCAGGTTCAAACAGGTCCTCGTCGGGGCCACCCTTGTGGCCGCTTTCACCCCCCTGGTCAGTGCTTTGCTCAGCTCACTGACACGGTCCGGTTGACCTACGGGGTTGGCGGTCCTGCTCCTGACTGGCTTCCTCTGGTTCAGCGCTACGGCTCCGCTCTGTGGGGCATGTCTGCTGAGCAGTTAGTTGATCTGATTAGTGCTCCTCATGCTATGTATGCTGTTGTTGACTCTAGTGTTTCTGACTCTGTTTACTCTGGTGTTGTTAGCTTAGGTGCTAGTCTTGCTCAGTTGCCTGTTGCTAGTGTAGGTACTTGTGTAGACTCTAGACCAGCGACTACCTCAGACGACGCTTCGCTGTCGTTCACACTGGACTCTGGAGCCTCCCACTGCTTCTTCCGGGACAGCACGACACTTACACCACTTCCTGCGCCTGTTTCTGTAGCGTTGGCTGATCCCACTACGGGACCAGTCACTGCACGTCACACTACCACTTTACCGTGTCCTGCTGCTCCCTCCGGGTCTCTCACTGGGTCTCACGTCCCCTCGTTCTCCCGGAACTTGGTGGGCGTGCGACCCCTCGTGAGTCAGCACGTGGGTGTGTGGTTTGAGCCTTCTGGAGAGACTGCGGTGTGTGTTGACGGAGACTCTTACCAGCCTCTTGCTACCTTTACTGCTGAGCCGGGCTCGGGTCTCTACACTCTTCACACTGGCCCGCGTGCGCCGCAGCAGCAGCCGCAGCAGCAGCAGCAGCCGCAGCCGCAGCAGTAGCAGCAGCAGCAGCAGCAGCAGCAGCACCAGCGGCCGCACCAGCAGCCCCACCTACTGCCACTGCCCCCGGTTCCCCCCCCCGTTCGGGTCCCCGCGTCTCACCAGGTTGCTTCGTCCCCCCAGGTGTCTGTGTCGTGTCAGGTTCGTACGTCTGTTCCAGTCGCTGCGTCGTGCTCCTGCCGGTCGCTTGCCCACCCCACCGTTGTGTGGCACCACCGGATGGGGCACCCGTCCCTTCCTCGTCTGCGCGCTATGTCTAGTCAGCGTCTTGTCCTAGGCCTCCCACGTGTCTTGCCGTCGCTGCCGCCTTCGCTTGCGCCGCCGTGTCGTCCCTGCGTCGAGGGTAGGCTGCGCGCCACCCCTCACTCCTCCTCCCTTCGTCCGGCCACCGAGCCTTTTGAGACGCTTCACTTGGACGTCTGGGGCCCCGCCCCTCGTCTAGGCCCTGAGCGTGAGCGTTACTTTCTGGTGGTCGTTGACGACTTCTCCCGCTACACCACAGTGTTCCCTCTGGCGAAGAAGTCTGAGGTGACTTCTATGCTGATCAGGTGGTTGCTCACCACCGAGGACACTCGTGGTCGTCGTGTCAGCTGTCTCCACTCCGACCGTGGGGGTGATTTTCGCTCCGGCATTCTCGCTGGATTCTGTCGCGAGCAGGGCATTCGTCAGTCCTGGACGCTTCCAGAGTCCCCACAGCAGAATGGGGTTGCTGAGCGCCGCATAGGCCTGGTCATGGAGATCGCCCGCACCTCCCTGACTCACGCCTGTGCCCCCCATTTTCTGTGGCCCTACGCGGTCAGGTACGCCGCGCACCAGCTGAACCTCTGGCCACGTGTCTCTCGACCAGAGGTTTCACCGACCAGTCTTTGGACAGGGTCCCCTGGTGTTGCGTCGCGGTTTCGTGTCTGGGGGTGCTTGGCTCTTGTCCGCGACACCTCCGCGGACAAGCTCTCGCCTCGTGCCGTCCCCTGTGTCTTCCTTGGTTTCCCTGAGGACTCCTCTGACTTCACCTTTTACCACCCTCCCTCTCACCGGTTCTTTGACTCCCGTGACGTCCGTTTCGAGGAGTCCACTCCGTACTACGTCAGGTACCCCAGTCGAGGTCTCCCGGTTCCTCCTCCCCCCCTCTTCCTGACTGCCGCTCCCCCTCCTGCTCCCCCGGTACAGCCTCCCCCCCCTGGCCCAGCCCCGTCAGGTGTGTCCCAGGCTACCCCTCCTCCTTCGGTAGCCCCTCCGGTACAGCCTCCCTCCCCACAGTCCTCCTCGCAGCGTGCCGCTGGTGCTAGCTCTCGAGAGGTTGGTGCTGCGCCTGTTCCTGTACCGGTTTCTGGTTCTGGGGGTGCTGGAGTTGGAGCTGGTGTTGGAGCTGGTGTTGGAGCTGTAAGTGGAGCTGGTGTTGGAGCGGGAGGTGGAGCTGGAGGAGGCACTGGAGTTTCTGGTTCTGGGGGTGCTGGAGTTGGAGCTGGAGTTTCTGGTTCTGGAGTTGGAGCTGACCCGGTGGGTGCAGAGGACT